TTATGAGGATGCTTTCTGTCTACCTGAAATCTCAGCAAGATAAAGCGGCATCTGTTTCTCCAGTGCAGTATCCCATTATTATACCAACTATGGAACCGTCCATGACACAGCAAAGCTTGGTTTGGTAAGACACGGGAACATTTCAAGGAGCCTTTCCAAGGTACTATTTTTTTATTAAGGATTACATGAGAAAACACTCTCACACTCTTACATTTTTATCAAATTGCACCTTGCATTTTTAATTGTATCAATATGCACTTTAAACTATTATAATTTAATCAAATCATTCCCTTCTGTTAGTAATTTCCGTTAAAGTTAATAGAACTCTATTTTTTTACTAAGTAAATAAAAATCTTATTAGAACCAAAAAAAATATTATTACCTCAAGAAGAGAGAGAAAAAAGCATGAGAAAAATAAGAGAAATTAGCATGTTATGTTTTTTTATCTTAAATATATTCATTTAATTTGTAAAAAAAGATTTTGTTAATTTTTGCAGAAATTATTAATAAAAGGGTTGGAATTATGTAATGGTTTAATGTGCAGATTGATACAATTGAAAACATAAGGTGTAATCTGTTAAAAATATAAAAGTGCGATAGTATTTTTTTTATTATTTATTTCTAGACCAAACATCTGATTAGTTTCAAAGTCCAAACTGAACTCTTGCTTTTGTTTAAGGAAAAATCAAATTATAGTACATTTAGTTACACTTTCTTTCCCTGTTTAGATAGTCTCCGCTGCCAAACTCAAACTACAATACATTTAGTTACACTTCCTTTCCCTGTTTAGATAGTCTCCGCTGCCAAACTCCAAGCATCAGACCATACAAATACTTCATTGGCAGTAAGTACAAAGTGGCCTTTGACTGGTGGTGTTCCTAGCCAACTTTTTGGCATTGAAGATTATCAAGTTGAGAGATTGTACATAGCAGGTTACCAAGATGGATCTGTTCGAATATGGGATGCCACATGTCCTACTTTATCACTTATGTATGTCATTGAATCTGAGGTCAGTATGTTTCATAATTTTGGAAATTTTGAATTTTGAATGTATTTACTAATTTTCTCATGTTTGCGGATAATATTAACCAGAATTTGTTTTTATTTCCATGGAGATAATCATTCTTGATGGAAACTGATATTACATGATGGTTAGGTGAAGGTTATAAATGTTGCGGGTGCAAGTGCATCAGTATCTGAACTGGATTTGTGTTCTCTTACTTTGGCTCTAGCAATAGGCAGTGAATGTGGTACGGTAAGATTTTTTTCCCTTTGTATGTGTTCTCTTGGGCAATCAACAATTCTTCTCAATTGATTCTATCTTTCTTTTGTTTTCTTTTGGGAGTAGGTACGTCTATATACACTAGTAGGCCATATGCGGGAGACAAGTCTGAACATTGTAACGGATACTGATAAACAAGGTGTGACTTTGAGCAAATTCAATATGATGCATGATGTATCTGCATAGTTCTTTCCAGTTTAAAGTTTTTTGTTTTAGTAAGTTGCAATGAGATAATTTAGATGCTGAACCATATCACTTTGTGTCAATATGAGTGGAAATAAAAATTTTCTGCAGCAAATTCTAGGTACGCTCTCAGGTTCAAAGCACTCTTAGGTTGAATATAGCAATGTGACCTCAAGGCATCTATTAGGCCATGCTTGGAACAAATGAATTTAAAACAAGAAAGTGAAATCCGTCTGCAATTCCACCTCTTTATATTTATACTCTAGTAAAAATATAGATCTGCAAAAGAATTCCTTACTCTTTTTTCTATATTGATATGGGCCAAGTATAGTGTTAGTGATTTCCAGAAGTTGCTAAAATCTAAGTTGCCAGCTAGAAAAAAACAATAAGGATCAAACTATTAATTGGATGTGGGTGATAAACTCACATCGAGGGTAAATATTATTGGAGAGCCCTGACACAGATGACCATGCTAAGCTAGCAAACCATTCAAGTATCATCCCTGATGCCTCTCTTTACATATGTCCATCCCTTTTCTTCTATTTACCTTTTGTTTTTCTTCAGCAAGTCGTCAATATTTTCTCATGTTATTCCAAGAGTTATATATGTATAGAGGAAAGTTTAATACATCACATGGTGTTCTCTTTATGATTCCATGTTTACTTCCTGAGATATATGATGCTTGAGAAGTTAGGGTGAAGGCATTAGGAACATGTTTGTAAGTGTTTGAAATTCGAATCTCTAGTAATTAGTTGGTGAATTCTACCTTTGCAAGAGTTCAAAAACAAGTCTAATAATCCTCAGCTTGTGATGGTGTTAAAACATGGAATAAGTAATTGTATTCTCTAACAACCCATGCAAATTTTTTGTCAAGATTTTGGTACTGCTTTTTAACTTTGAGTTATCTCGATATTTTACCTGGTTATAGTTCATAATTTGCATCAAGGGGATGGGCCTCAGTGCACGGCTGTGTTTTCCCTTCTTAATTCGCCTGTACGTGCTTTACAATTTGCGGACTTGGGGACCAGGCTTGCCATAGGATTCCAATGTGGAAGAGTAAAGAATCATCTACTTTCTTTTATATTTGATGAATTCACTAATTTCTTTTGAATTTTGAATGGTAATTTCAATGAATAAGTTTTGTTATTTGCACTTACAAATTTCAAAATGCAGGTTGTAATGCTAGACATTAATAAATCATCAGTGTTATTTGTTACCGACAACATATCCAACCCAAATTACCCAATCAGTTCTTTGTCTGTTAAATCATTCACAGAGGTGAATCACTCCATAAATAGTGAACCAGAGGTTTCTGAATCTAAGAGTCTAGATTCTTCTCAAAGATTGGCAGTATTTGTGATGACCAGGGATGCACATCTTGTTGTTTTGGATGGCAGCTCTGGTCATATTCTCATCTCTCAGTCAAATCATGGAAAGGAGTTAACTGCAGTTTCTATGTACATCATAGGCAAGTATGTTTTATTAGAATGAAACCGAAAAAGTGAGTTGCCATTCGTGTTTGATTTTTGGCAGTTTGATAACTTCCTATTTGCAGAGGGGGGCAGTTTAATCTCTGATATGCTTGGGGAAAAGCATTCTTTGCGCTCACCTCAGGATAGTGAAGCTGGAGATGAGCCCTCTCAAACTAATGCTTATTGTGATGATAATCCACTTGAAGGCGAACCAGAGGCCCTCGTAGCAACCAAATATTTTGGGGAGACTAGTTTACTTATCTGTCTTGTTTGTGAGGATTTGTTGCAGTTGTATTCTTTGAAGTCTGTGGTTCAGGTGTAATTTGTTTACATATTTTTCTTCTGAATCTACATAAATACATTGCCTTTTACTGATAATTAAAGTGTC